AATTGATCATAAAGTGTGAGAAGTCTTTCTCTTATTCATATCAATGGAAGTAGGGATGGCAATAGGGCGGGATAGGGGTGGGGATAGCCATCCCCGTCCTCGCCCCGTCCTAAAAAATTTTGCGCCCATCCTCGCCTTGTGCCCCGCTCGGGGCAAAATTTTGAGTACCATCCGCATCCCAAATGAAACGGGACGGGGTGGGACCCGCCAAATTGTCATTTTTAAAGGCGGATTGGTGGGGCAAGGGCGAGGACGGGGATGGGGGTAGGGGCGAGGGCGCGGATAGCCATCCTTGTCCCCGCCCCGCCCAAAAATTTTGCCCCATCCCCGCCCCGTGTCTCGTTTGGGACAAAATTTAAGGGCGGGCCTTCGATAGGACAGGACAAATTATCATCCCTAAATGGAAGTTCTATTTTTGACACACACACAAATATATATATATAGGTTGAAAATGATAAACTTAAGCATGTGTGATGCATTTGATTATAAAAGAGATATCATGGTTTTTCTTATTTATGTAGCTTGTACAAATAGTAAATATGCAAAGTTTGGTTATTAAATACAATATAAATGTACGGAAGAAAAGCAAAGAGATATAAAAATTAAAGAAAAAATAGGAAAAAATATATATAAAGGGGTCATAGTGAAGAAGCCAGAGAGATGGCCCGATATTTCTTGAATTTTTCAAAGTTGTTAGGATCAAAATATGAGCCGGGGGTGGGGGGAATGATCCCACCGATTATAGCTTATTAATGAATTAGAATTAAACAAGCGCCCATATTTTGATCCTAACAACTTTGAAAAATTCAAGAAATATCGGTCCATCTCTCTGGCTTCTTCACTATGACCTCTTTATATATATATATATATATATATATCAAAATAAAAATGTGCATGTCATCAATTAGCCCATACAACATTTAGATAAATTTATTATGACATCAAATACGCAAGATTCATTATATAATAATTAATGATTGTTAAATTAAGATAAATGGATTACTTTCCAATTAAATTGATTATTTTATAATTAATATGATTTTTAAGAGAAAATACTAGGAACTCCAAATATTAGGCCAAATCGATTATTTCTTACATATATAACGAATATTTTAAATAATTCTGAAATTTATCAATTAGTTTGAGAAAAATTAAAGACACAAATTAGTTTAATTTAATCCAAGGTATTTTCATTAAATGTTTAAAATAATTATTGTAAATGTAAGTTTTTGGCCAAACTATTTTATTAAGAGTATTTATAGGAAATGAATTTATTTTGGAAAAATTTATACCTATTTTTTAATTAATGTTGAGCCTAATTAATCTTAATTTATACCTAGTATTATTATGAAATAAATTTATTTTGAAAAAATTTTATACTTAATTTTTAACAAAGTATGGAACTAATTAAGTGTATTTATTAGGCTTTCATTATGAATTATAAATAATTAGATTGAAAAGGAGACGTGGCTTTGATGTTTTACATTCATTACATTAAAAATGTGAGATATTGTCGGAGTTATTTAGATCCTAAGCAAGTAAGAGGTATTACATTGACAGCTATCGTTCCTCTCCCCTCTAAGAAAATAGCCGCCGCTCCTCCTCCCTCTAGCATCAGGTAAATAATGCTGTCTTTGCTGGTGAAATATAGGTTATCGAATGTATTTAAATAAGTCTTGAATATGTTGATTAATTCTCGAAAAAAAAAGCGTCTTGAATGTTTCAACTTTTAACTGACCGAAACTAAGAAAAGTTGACATACTCGACATCCAATGTTTGAAAGTAATTAGTTAATAAACCTTGGAGTAATTTTGGACAGTGATGGATTCTTATTAAATGATATTTGAAAGATATATATAATTAACTTGTGAAGGTTTTTAATTTTATTTGTTTTGACTTGATATTTTGAGCTATATATTGATGATCTGACATATGGAATTTATAGTGGCATGCTTTCGAGCTTCTTGTGGTATGCATTGGGAAGCATGGAGACATGCCAAGAATGCCAGTATTTCCTCCCAATCAAGGTAAGAAAAAATTTCTCGGTAAAGTCTTGCACGCCCTAACTCGATAAAGATGCTGTTCACGAGCTTCTCAGAGGGAAAAAGGTTGTCGTTGTTGCCTTATAAGAAATCAGCTATTGATTTAGCTGTGGAGCGTGCCATTGCAAACCAAGGTATATATGAACTGGACCCTTTTTCTCTTTAATAATTTTTCGTTGTTAATTAGATTGCTAAGAGCAGTCAAACTGGTCATAAAGCGAGAAAATTTGACTTCATTGACCTTTATCACTTAAGAAACAAATCGCCCAACATCCCCCGCTCTTTTTATATTCTTTTTATTGGAAGGTACCTCGTACCTTAAGCCTACTAGGTAGAGATGGGGAATAACCGTCCTTATTTATTAAATCCTAAGGAAATACGATTCGGTGGTAGACTCTATTAGAAAATAATAATAATAATAATTTATCTCACATATAAAATTGGCTTTGTGATTTGTTTGCCAATTTCTTCTGATTCTATGATCAACTGAATATTTTACACCTTTTTTCTTTCTCACTTTGATCCATCTGTCCAATATCCATCTTAAAAATTTACAAACCTTGTTTTGAACTGTTCACGGATTGTTTTGTAGGCTGTGGGACCTTGGCATGCACGGATGTGTGCATTCATGTGCTGTGCATACAGGTTATGTTTGGGCACTTGCCAGCGCTCCAACATTCAGCCATGTCTTTAGACACCCCAACATACATATATATATATTTTTTTGTTTTTTATTATTTTCCTACACTTGAGCACATTTCTATATATTTATTTGATTTGATTTTACATTATTTTTATTTTGCACAATAATATTTACTATAATTAAATATTAAATGACTAATAATGAATTAAAAAAATTATATTTTCTACATTAGCAATGGATCAACGACTTACTTACGATGAAAAAATGATTAAATTACACTAACTATCGATGAATAACTGACCAAATGGAGATGGATTAGCGCTGAGAGTAGGTCCCTATAGCAACAACATGTTCATTGCTAATTTCATCATATTAGTGACGAACATACTTCACTAAAGTGACAACTTGTCCATCGTTAATTTAGCGATGGATTATAACTTCCATCACTAAAATTCTTAGTAACAAGAGTTTTACCGACGGACTAGTTAAGTTGCAAAAAAGAAAATAATGACGAAATATATAGGTTTAAGGACAAAAAAATCCTTCGTTAAAGGCTTAATTTTTTATAGTGTGCTCCATCTTTTTCTTTTTCTTGCACTACAATACTTTCATGATTTCCTTTTCTTGCACTATAATGCCTTGCTCTGTTTTTGTCAAGCTATAATTCCCATGTTTCTCCTAACTCGTTTGGATCGCGTTTTATTATTATTAGAAGTTTGTTATTCTTTTTAACTACTCGTATACTATTTGTTATTGGTCATTGACACAGGAGTGTCTCCTTCAAATTTTACATGATCGAAAGTTTCTAAATTTTTGGCTACTCTATCCTTTTATCTTATCTTATCTTATCTTATGTGTTTATTTAGCCCTTGTAATGGGTTGGATAATTATTTTATTTTGTATCTTTTAATTACTCGGACTTGGGCTAATTAAATTAGTCCTCATGGATATTTTTATTAGTGGCTAAATATTGGCCATCTTTATTGGGATATTATATCCTTATATGTTATGAATTCTTATTTGTTTAGAAATCATAAGTTATATGCATTCTAATTTAATATGGGCACTCTAATCACGGATGCATGAAAGAGTCCTTTTCTAATTCTTAATAGGGTATTCAGCCAAGGTTGAGTTTTGCATTCCAATTAAGACAAGTTTTATCAATCCTAGTCGGATATTAGAGTAGTATTTATTTAAGCAAATGTTTTGCTACTTTGTAAAGAGACTTTTGCCGAATATTTTAAAATAAATTTGGAGATTTTTTTTAAATTTATTTACATTTTTCTTTATTTAGATTAGTTAGGGTTTCTATGAATCATTTTTAGAATAATCGACTAAGGTAGACTCAGATCAATCACGCTCAACCATTCTTAGAGTAAAATTTCTAGCCAGAATGCTCAGAGAATCCACCTTTTCTTGGAGTTTCTCTTTCCTCTCTTTTAGTGGGAGTGACTATTTAGCTCAATCTAATGAATCACAATTTTCCAAATACTAGGGAAGTACAAGTCAAAATATTCATTTCCTTAATATAAATTATTATCTCTGATAACTGAATCTCAATTTTCCAAATACTAGGGAAGTAACATTTAATATTATATATCCTTGTTGTTTAATTAATTTAGAATCTAGTTCAAAAATATTCATTTTCTTAATGTGAATTATTATTACTGGTAGAAATTTAAAAAGGAAAAAAATTCTACCAAATTGTTTTTTGTTAATTTTTTTTTATAATAGATCAAATTTATCTTATAATATTAATTAATAGCTTTAAATATTATATTGTTACATTAATTTTTATTGTAATAATTTTATAGGTCACTTTTACTAGTTTGAAATTGTTAATTTATTTTTTTAAAAAAATTATTAGTACAATTAATTAAAAAATTAATAAGAATTTATTATATAACAATAACAGATTATAAAACGGCAATTTACGCCAAATATCTTTAGAATTCTCAAACAAATAACAAACACAAAAATGATCCCTTTTCAAGAATCCTCTATCATTAAGCAAACACAAATGTTCTAAATTCTCGGAAGTCACTTTCCCGAGAGAATAGGGGAAAGGTAGCAATTCGTAAAACAAATGCCACCTCAACCTCAAGATACGGTTAAATGTTAACACTATAGAGGGAGGAGAGGGATAAATTAATTTTCGAGGGAGAAAATATTTCACTATACATTTCCCTTCTTTCTTTGAATATAACATAATTTATCTTCTTCTTCTTCTTCTTCTTCTTTTTCCCCTCTCACTTTACATTTTTTCTGTTTTTTACCTCTCCAAACAAGGTAGCGGCAACAAAGGAACACAGCAATCACCTCCAAAAGCTTAACTGCGTAAGCAGACTCATCTCAGTACCCGCATCAACGGTGCAGGCAGCAACTCGACCAGGCAAACCACTGCAGTGTGGAAGGGCGAGCAGTACGAGCACAATGCAGCATCCTACTCAAATCGATGGATAATGACGAAGTGTCTCTGCTTTGAACTTCAACTCCTCCCACTGATGCGAAGAATATACAAGCTCGTGCCACCGAGCTTGGCTGAGATTGGCATTCAATTGTACGAAACAATTTTGGAAACTGGAAAAACATTAAATTTTTGCATGACACTGCTCACGTGACATGATCAACTGATCTCTTTGGGGGATCTTTTCAATTGCAGCATAGATGCCACCCAAATGAAACACTAATTACAGTCAGTCCCATCTTAGGACTGGAAAAATAACAAGATAAATAATAGACAAACATCCAGACGACCTGCAAGCAAACAACACTCAACAAAGAAAGTGAATCAACAAGGTCCCACCAGTCAAAGTAGCATTGGGATGGGGTGAAGCCTTGCCACCATGCATTCAGGAGAGCGGGCACCAAAAAAACAGCATGATAGAAGAGTTCATTAACCATTTAACAGTAAAAGGAAATCCCAGCATGCATTGACAAAACAAAGCACAAACCTCTTATAACCTATTTGACCACATTCCCTCCAAACCAACAGGGTAAAAGAGAACTCTGAATCATCGATTCAGAATATGACATACTAATGTAGAAAGAAAAAAAAAAATGAATAAACATCCAAAAATTCAGCACCCCTTCCTATCTCCTCTTCCAAACATTGCATCAAGGACTTCCCAAATACGCTGCAGCAATCAAACTTTACTGCTGCTTGCATTCTGGAGGCCGCTCACCCTGCTGACCATCCCCAACTTGTGTTCTTCCACTTTTCTGCAGTAACACCAAGTTAAATTTCAGTTAATTTACAGTGGGAAAAGAGTGATAAACAAAAGGAAAATGAATGGAAAGACGAGAAAAATCTGTTGAACTAGAGGCAATACCTTGTACCCGGCGGATGACTGCAGCAACATCCCAACCCAGATAACCAAAAAGTTAGTAAGTATCGCACCAAATTTCAAACAGATAAAAGGGAAAAAAATACAATATGGCCCACTCAAATTTCAAGATAACCAGACCTTCTTTTTGGTCTTGCCTTCATCCTCCTCGTCCTCGTCCTCATCTTCTTCCTCATCCTCTTCATCTTCCTCATCCTCATCATCATCCTCGTCGATGTCATCATCATCCTCATCATCGTCATCATCTTGTCCAAGTTCATCCCCCTGAACAGCCTCCCCAGTAAACCAAGACACAGCATGGGGGATGATCTTGTCTCGAATGGTTGACCTGAATCATAGTTCAAACAAAGACAAATAAACGAACGAAGTTCAACAGGTAAAACATAAGAAAGGAAAGCGGTGACTAGCAGATGTGGGACTTCTTAACATTTAAAAATAAAGTAAATACTGATTGCCATTTAGAAACCCAATCCACATCAAGAATTAAATAATTAGAAGAGAAACCCACCCAATGTCATAATCTTGCTCCATCTGATTTTGCAGTTCCTCAGCCTGTTCAAGAACATGAAAACCGCAGAAAAACAGAACCCAAAATTAAAACAAGAACCATTGAGCTATCACCAATCATTTCAATAGATGTAATGAAGTTCGTCATTACAGTATCTTCATCGATGTCTTCATCATCCTCAGGAACTTGTGGTGGACTGAAGAAGTTGAAAAAACTTTCACAATCTTCAGTTTTGGTAATTGGCTTGGCATTTTTCGATCCTTTCTTGGGCTTCTTTTTAAGAAGCTTCTGGGTCAAGCATTTTCCTGGATACCATTCAATCTCAGTTCTACAACACACCAGGTAACAACAGCAACATATCAGTATTAGACCAAGTCTTCTTCAATGTTAGTATCACAACAGAACACAATGAGGGCATTGTCAACATAATAACAAGATTAAAAAATGGAACTTACCCTATTGCTTTCTCAAGAATGGGCTCATCTTCATCAATCATGTGATATGTCTTCGTCAAAACAGAGTTCTTGAAATAAGGGTTGGTGTCAAAGAAGAACTCAAGCTTAAATCCCTTGGGATCCTCTATCCTACACCACTTGATATCTTTAAGGTACTTGAGAGCTCCTTCATCACGCTCAGTAATCTGATGCCAATAAAAGGAGAAAAAAAAAAAAAAAACCATATCAGCACAAGCATTGAAATCCAGCATACAATACAAGGGGAATAAAAATACCTCCTCGGCTAGCACTTCATTGTTCTTCATTGCGACAAGCCAAAAATCAGGAACACCTTTCTCTGCATTAGATGTAATTAAATATCAAGTTACACATACTTACCAGGAAAAAGATGATCCATGAAAAATAAGCAGAAAGTGGGTACCTTCTGCCGCCTTTTCCCCCTCTTGGTCCATTGCCACTTGACTGGTAGCTTCAACTTCAGCAACACCATTTACAATATCATATCGCTGCAAGTAGGCGGAGAAGCAGAATTGAAAACATCTTTTCAATTGGGAATTCAGGTGACAGGAATATACTATCAAAATAACAATGGGCTTCTAGGATATTGTACCTTAGTGTACAATGGTTGGTACAATTTCTGATATTTCGCTTCAAGAGCTGCTCTCTCCTCAAAGAATTTTGCCTCTAATTCATCATGTTGACTCTGTACATTGAAAAACCTTTAATATATAGAAGACTAAAACCACAATTTTATCATTCAAGAAAGAGAATGATGATTCAATGAAACATGAAACAAAGAATAACCACAGCTAACAAACTTCCCTTAACTATGCAAAATTAACAGGGTGAGCTAATGCAATTTCCCAATGACATAGGCAGAAGTAAAGACAAAAGGGCAAATTCAAGTTTCAAAAGCAGCTAAGTCATGCAAAATTGTTAAAAGGGTTGAACCTGCTCAAAATTCTTCCATCCAGGACCTCAGGAAATACATTTAAAGAAAAATAACATATTACAGAAGGTAAACCTTTGGCCTAATCATCACATCTCTAGAATTCTCCCCACCCTTGCCATCTCATGAAAAGAGAAATCTCGAAATATACCATATTTTTTCCCAAATATAATGCTAAAAACAACTTTTTTTTGGAAAGCGCTTAAATATGTAAATTAACTTGATTAAATTCTATTAGGTCCGATTACCATGCTTGGAAACATCTATGGAATGTAAAGGAAAATATTCTGCCAAAAATGAACTCATCTTGTTTGTATAGAATTATCAATGAGAGGTAATTATATAGGAAAAAAAATACCAGATTACACACAATAACTTCAATCTAACTATTCCATCATTTTAGATTCTATTCCAAGTACATAAATTTAACCGAACTAAATCATTTACCAATGAAATTGAATTCAATTAAACTTCATTCCAACATAAAATTAATTCCAAACAGGCAGCAAAGACAAAACATTAAAACTGGATTGACAAGTCAACTTATTTATATTCCAACCATAATGTAAGACTAAAATACAGGCATCTCAAGTACAACAAATGAGCTCTCACAAATATGGCAAGTTTTCTGAACAACAAGAGGCAGAATTATAAAAAACAAGTAAGCAACACAACTTCATATAGAAAATTAATAAACTGCAAGCTATCAGAGCACAACTAGGTACAGATCATATAGAAAATCAATAAACCATAAGCTACCAGGACACAACTAGGTAAAGAAGAATCATATCAAATTAAAACGCATAATATTAGGATTTGCAAGAAAAAGAACATTGCCTGGATCTCTCTGAGATCCTCAACACGCTTCCTCACAGTCGGAGATAGGTTCTCGAGCAATTCAGAGTGCTGTCCAGTCAAACTCTGTAGCTTATTCTGCACAAACAGCAAAAACCTTAATCTTATCAGCCAACACAATATTCCAAATCATAATACGAAAACTAAAACAGTAAAAACATTACGAAAAACAAAAATATACTCAAAGAGTGACCAGAGTTTACTCAAAGCCTAACCAACCAAACACAAACATAATAAAACTTAAGGAGAAACACTCCGATTAGCTACTTAAAGAAGAGAAACATCAATTTCCTTTTTCCATATTCTTAGTAGTTCAACAAATTTTTGTTTTGTTTTGTTTTGTTTTTTAAAGCAAAGTCAGTTACAAAACCGACCTTGAGAGCATTAACAAGGCCAGCTCGATCCTCGTCGTTAAGAGCTGCAAGAAAAGACGAACAGAAAACACAAAACAACTCGTTATTATCAAAAATCGAAAATAATAGCGGCGAAAATCAAGAGCGAGAGAAAAGTGACAGGAAGAAATTAGGGTTTTCGTAACTACCGGCGCTGAGATCAGCCATGTTGAAGTTATCCTTGTCGTTGCTCATGTTCGGAGAGCAAATAGAGAGGAGGAAAGAGAGAGAGGAGAAGCTGGAAAGAAGCAAAGAGCTAAAACCCTAGATTGGGTTATTACTGTAGAGGGAAAAAAAAGAAAAAAGAAGAGGGAAGCGGCAAAAAAGAGGAAGGCTGGCTGGCTGCCTAGGGTCGGTTGAGAGAGAGTGGCTTCGTTGATAAAAACGTGGCCTTTCTTGTCTTTAATCCTCTCTCTCCTCGTCTGCTTGAAAAAACCTAACATCTGGCTCGCTTTTTATAGGTCGAGGCGAGGCCTTGAAACTTAATTTATTACCTAAAGGTGCTGTATCCTCGGCCCCCAAATATGGTTGTTCATATCCAGCTGCCTTTGGTAACTTGGTCATTTTTCAAATTAAAATCAACGTTTATCCAAGTACACCATCAAAGGAAAATATATCTTTTTGCCCTATCTTTTTATTTTTTTATTTTTCTTTCTTTATTTATAGAAAAAAGTATTATTATTTTGACATTTTTGGAATAATAATTATATTGCATTTCCAAAAAAGAAAAAGAGAGAATCATATTGCTACCCCTTTCATGATTCATGAATTTAAATTCAGATATTTTGAAAAGAATTTGACAATATTGTTAAATGTTACTAAGGTGGTGTTTAATAAAACTAAAAATTAAATGCTAAATCGGTTAAGTACTGAATTTTAAGTATTAAATATATTGCTAACAAACCGTTTAGTATTTACCGACAATTAGATGTTGAATATAATAAAATTGTTTGATAAGTACTATTAATAAACACAAACACACACACACACACACACACATACACACACACACATATAATAATTTTAACATTGTAATTGTAACACGATATTTTTTTAACATAAATAAAAATATATACATAGATGTGTTTGTGCGTATAAATAAAAATATTATTAATAAAAAATTAAATAAGAGGGTGGGTGTTATCATTTGGTGGTGGGTTTTATCCAAGGAATCGATTTGCAACGAGATTCTATAAATGGATGATCATAGGAAAAAGGCTTGCCGGGTGACCAACCTCGGCACCGTAGAGTTACCAACTCACCTACCTTTTTGTAGATACCATATCTACACTTTGAGAATATGATTAACTTGTAATCTTCATTTTCTTTTGTTTTTATTGTCATCTTTTGCTTACCTTTGGTTTGCTTGCCTTCCATTAAGAATGAAAAAAGCTTTTGGACTAGACACCAAAAAAAGGAAGAGATATGATAATGGAGAAGGTCTCTTTTATTTCATAAATGAGGACGAGTAAAGATTGTTTCTCAATCAGTTTGTATAGTTAAGGTTACAAAAATATATGAGGGCTATATAATTATATTTAAAAATTAAAAATCTTTCGACTAAACATGTTAATAAAAAAATTTTATGTTAAGAATTTTAAATTATCTAATTATATAGATTTTGACTAAATTTAAATTTTAAATATGAGATTATTTAGATTATCAAATAAACTTTTTACATTAAATACCACAACTTAATTTTTTAATATACTTAAAATTTTATCAAATGCATCCTAACTATAATGGCTACTAATGTTAATTTTACTTGATTACTTTTGACTTTTATTAAAACAAAAACATCGTTATTGCTTTCATTTAAATTCGATTATAAAAAAATTAAATCTAATTCTAAAAAACAAAATTAATATCGTTAAATAAATATGTGAATAGTATGTTTAATTTGTATGAACTTTAATGTACTTTTATGACCTCCAATATATAAATTAATAATATTTTATTTTTATATAGAAAGTTTTAAATTGATTAGAACTTATGTTATTTGACATAAAATTATTAATATAATTGATGATGATATTTGCAAAATTCTTGAGATTAAAATGTGTAACATTATTATTAGAGAAAATTTGATGATAGTTAAAACTATTAAACAAAACTAGGTTTTCTTTTTAACGAGTGTCATCGGATAAGTATTTATAGCTCAAGACTAGATCCTTTTTATTTAAAAATAAATTGTTAATATTATTAAATAAATATATGAATGGTATGTCTAACTTGTATGGATTTTAACGCATTTTCTTGACATCCAACATATAATTTAATAATAGGTACTTTTTTTGATTTGGAAAGTTTAGGACTAATTTGGAAATCTCATTCTTTGACGTAAACTTTATTAATAAAGTTGATGGAGATGTTTGCAATATTCTCGAGATTAAAATATGTAGTATTATTGTTAGACAAAATTTGATGATATCTAATATTATTAAATAATAGTAGGTTTTTCTTGGTAACAATAAGTGTATCATCAAAATAGTTTCTATAGTTGAAGGCTAATTCGTTTTATTTAAAAATAAATCTCTAACATTGTTAAATAAATATGTGAATGATATGTTTAACTTGCATGAACTTTAATGCAATTTCATGAAATCCAACATATAAATAAATAATATGTATTTCTTTGATTTGGAAACTTTCGAGCTAATTTGAAGCTTTCATCTTTGACATAAACTTTATTAGTCGGTTGATGACGATGCTTGTAAGTATTAAAATGTATAATATTATTGTTAGACCAAATTTGATGATAGCTAATACTATAAAGCAATACTAGTTTTTTCTTTGTAACAATAAGCGTATAAGAATACTAGTTTTTGTAGCTCAAGACTAAAACGTTTTTATTAAAAAATAAATTGCTAATATTGTTGAATAAATATGTGAATGATACATTTAACTTGCATGAACTTTAAAGCATTTTCATGACATGCAACATATAACTTAATAATAGGCACTTCTTTGATTTGGAAAGCTTTGGACTAAGTTGGAACTCTTGTTCTTTGACATAAACATTATTAATATAGTTGATGCGGATGGTGATATTCTCGGGATTAAAATATGTTGTATTATTGTTAGATCGAATTTGATGATAGCTAATACTATTAAATAATAGTAGGTTTTTCTTGGTAACAATAAAAGTATCATCAAAATAGTTTCTATAGTTGAAGGCTAATTCGTTTTACTTAAAAATAAATCTCTAACATTGTTAAATAAATATGTGAATGATACGTTTAACTTGCATGAACTTTAATTCAATTTCATGAAATCCAACATATAAATTAATAATAGGCATTTCTTTGATTTGAAAAATTTCGAGCTAATTTGAAACCTTCGTCTTTGACGTATGCTTTAGTAACTTGATTGATGGAGATGCATCCAAGGATTAAAATGTATAATATCATTGTTGACCAAATTTGATGATAGCTAATACTATTAAACAATACTAGTCTTTTCTTCTCAATAATAAGGGTATCAACATGCTAGATTTTATAGCTCAAGACTCAATCTTTTTTTATTAAAATTAAATCCTTAATATTGTTGAATAAATATGTGAATGGTATATTTAACATGCATGAACTTCAATGCATTGTCATGACATGCAACATATAAATTAATAACAAGTATTGTTTTGATTTGGAAAGTTTCAAGATTATTTATAACTCTCGTTATTTGATATAAACTTTATTAATATGATTAATAAGATATAAGCGACATTCTCGGGATTAAAATATGCATTATTATAGTCGGATCAAATTTGATGATAGTTAATACTAAGTTTTTTTCCTTGCTTCAAATAAGGGTTTCACGAGACTAGTTTTTGTAACACAAAACTAAGTCTTTTTTATTAAAAAAATAAATCACCGATATTGTTAAATAAATATGTGAATGATATGCTTAACTTGCATGAACTTTAATGCAATTTCATGAAATCCAACATATGAATTAATAATATGTATTTATTTGATTTGGAAACTTTTGAGCTAATTTGAAGCTTTCATTTTTGACAAAAACTTTATTAGTCGGTTGATGGCGATGCTTGCAAGGATTAAAATGTATAATATTGTTGTTAGACAAATTTGATGATAGCTAATACTATTAAGCAATACTAGTTTTTTCTTTGTAACAATAAGCGTATCAACATACTAGTTTTTGTAGCTCAAGACTAAAACTTTTTTATTAAAAAGTAAACCGCTAATATTGTTGAATAAATATGTGAATGATACATTTAACTTGCATGAACTTTATGCATTTTCATGACATGCAAGATATGACTCAATAATAGGCACTTCTTTGATTTGGAAAGTTTCGGATCGATTTGGAACTCTCGTTCTTTGACATAAACTTTATTAATGTAGTTGATGGAGATGTTTGCGATATTCTTGGGATTAAAATATATAGTATTATTGTTAGAAAAATTTGATGATAGCTAATGCTATTCAATAATAGTAGGTTTTTCTTGGTAACAATAAATGTATCATCAAAATAGTTTCTATACTTGAAGGCTAATTTGTTTTATTTAAAAATAAATCTCTAATATTGTTAAATAAATATGTGAATGATACGTTTAACTTGCATGAACTTTAATGCAATTTCATAAAATCCAACATATAAATTAATAATAGGCATTTCTTTGATTTGGAAAATTGCGAGCTAATTTGAAACCTTCGTCTTTGACGTAAGCTTTTTTAACATGATTGATGGAGATGCATGCAAGGATTAAAATGTATAATATTATTGTTAGACCAAACTTGATGATAGCTAATACTATTAAGTAATACTAGTCTTTTCTTCATAATAATAAGGGTATCAACATACTAGTTTTTATAGCTCAAGACTTAATCTTTTTTTATTAAAATTAAATCCCGAATATTGTTGAATAAATATGTGAATGATATATTTAACTTGCATGAACTTCAATGCATTTTCATGACATGCAACATATAAATTAATAACATGTATTGTTTTGATTTGGAAAGTTTCAAGATTATTTATAACTCTCGTTATTTGATATAAACTTTATTAATATGATTAATAAGATATAAGCGACATTCTCGAGATTAAAATAGGCATTATTATTGTTAGATCAAATTTGATGATAGCTAATACAAGATTTTTATCCCTCCTTTAAATAAGGGTTTCACGAGACTAGTTTTTGTAGCACAAAACTAAGTCTTTTTTATTAAAAA